CTGCTACAGAGGAAGACCCAGATGTCACTTAACAACTGAGGTGTATTCTGACTATTGTGCTGATAGCAGACATTCGTGCATATTTCCGTGAGATATCACTCTATGTAGCTTGTCTAATGGAGCTGTTCACATCTCGCAGCTCAATGTCGCCTGTAGCTCGTACATGACCCTTTTTTCCACCCCGCAGATGTTGCGTGATTCGGCTCCAATAGACTCTATGGTGTTGTGCAAAATTGCACATTACCGGCGATATCGCACCACAGAAGGGTCACTTTTTTGCACTGCAGAATGTAAGGAAAGAATGATGTCGCATCAAGATCGCTGTTGATTGGTTACAGCCCAATGTAGCAGCGACGAAGTCCCGCCCAAAAAACGTGCTATGTAGCGTGATAAAATGTGCACTGTCGCTCAATGTAGCTCAAAGCCGTTCAGCACGAAATTGCGGGGAAAAGCGCAAAATCCATGTCGCTCAGTGTGAATGGGGTCTAAGATATACAGGGTATTTTTTATTTACCTGTGGAGAGCTGGTCTAAATATGTACAGTCTCACAATATCAGCTATGAAAAACATTATGCCAATAAAGGTATACTGCAGCTGTAGATTATAGTGTAGCATTTAGTAATGACTTGTACTTGAACGTTTAATATCTATCACAGCATTTTTGTGAAGGTGAACTTAAATTATACATCCAACCTCACCTTTATTTCAAATGCTTAAGCCTATTGTTGTATTGCTTTGGATTTAGGTTCCAAGGCAACCATCTCAAGACTTGCTTTTGGGTGAATGAGTCACTTTATTGGACAAGCATGCAGGATGAGAATTAAGATTTCGCTGACTGCATGCTTGTTCTAAGTTAGGGGCTTTCTAGGTGGAACACATAATGGCAGCCTGTGTAGCATGTAAATCTATAAACAACTCCGTAGCAGCAGCTTTCATTTTTCTATCTTTAACCCCTTCGTGACTGACGACGTACAGTGTACGTCGCCAGCATCGGGGCTGTTTAAACCGACTCCCGGTGACTTTTGCCGCCGGGACTCTGTTTAAACTTGTAGAGCCGACTGTCGGCTTTACAACAGAAGCGATCCTGGCGACTTACCTGTCGCCAAATCGCTTCTGCGTCCCGAAGAAGGGGCCGCCCCCCCGCCGGACACCCCCGCCGTGCTTCCCGGGCTCCGTTGCCCCTCCTACGGGCCCGGGACCGGCGATCTTGGTGTCCGCGGGGAGCTGGGGAGGAGGTCGACGAACTTCCGTTCATCGATCCCCTCCCCGTTCTATGGGACCGGGAGCGATGCAGATTGCATCACTTCCGGTCCCTGGGCTGTCAGTTCTGGGCTCCTGCAGCCCAGCTATAAGCTATTGAAGTGCGATCTGCACTTCAATAGCTTATTTCCAGTGTAAAGGTGACACTGGGGGTCTTTTGGACCCCCAGCATCACCTTAAAGAGGACCTGTCACCACCATCTGCTATTACATGGGGGGGCTTGCAAGCCCCCCCATGTGATAGCAGTCAAAGTAAATTAAAAAAAAAAAAAAAACAGTTTTTAAAATTAAAATGAAATAAAATAAATCTAATAATAATAAAAAAAATTTTTTAAAAGTACCACTCCCCCGCGAGCACGCGCGTCGCCACGTAAACACGCGTCGGGTGCGCCTACGTATGAAAACGACGAACGCGCTACACATGTTGGGTATCGCCGCGCACGCCGGAGGGAAAGCAATAATTCTAGGGCCAGTATTGTGGGGTATCTCTAAATTGATGACCTGTGGGGGCTTTTAAAGCGTCTTCTATGGACTTTCTGGGGTACTGGGGTTTTACGGATGCACGCAATTTGTAACCTGGGCATGTTGGGTATCGTTTTACTCGTTGCATCCTCATCTTTTATATTTCATTAAAAAAAATGGGTATTTTGTTGTGTTTTGGGGCATTTAATTTTTTCACTAAATATTGGGGTTTAATAAGGAGTTGCGCTAATATTGCGCAGCATAAAAATTTGCAACTACCACCATTTTATTCTATAGGGTCTTGGCATTCAGAAAATATATAATGTTGGGGGGGTTTTAAGTAATTTTCAGGCCTAAAATGTGGAATATAACATGGGTACAAAAAATGAAAAAAAGGCCTCAGTCATGAAGGGGTTAAGGTTTCACTTTAGTTTTGTAAAGCTAAAACGTGCTTCTCAAAATGTAGTGTTCAAGTGGTAGCTCCTTTCAGCAGATCTTATATGTTCATCAAATGATGTAACTTCCTGTAACTGAAGTGTTTTGCAATCACCCATGTTATAAAACCCTTGTATCTTGCCTCCTTGCAGTTTTCTTCCCTCCTGATTTAAAAAAAACATTTTTTAATAGTGTTCTTGTAGCATGTTACCCCCCTCCCCCCATTACCCTCTGGTAAAGATTGTCAAAAAAATATTGCACATAAATTAAGTACATTTAAAAAAAAAAAAAAAACATGGACAAGAGAATGTACCTGCAGTGTTTTTTGTTTTTTTTTAAATGAAGCTCACCACAACGCACGGTAGTGTCCCAGTATACTTCAGTGCAGGTGCATTGGGGCAACATTCAGAATGAAGAACACAGCACTGCACCATATAAAAACATTTTTAAAAAGCTGTATTTTAATGGGTTTCTGCTTTTTTGAAACTCGAATAATTAAAATATCGTGCAAAAGTTCATTTATTTCACTAATGCAACTTAAAAGGTGAAACTAAAGATATTATTCTATGTACAATCCTTTTTTTATTGATTGCATGTAATATTCTAATTTTCTGAGATTGTGGATTTTGGGGTTTTCATGAGCTGTAAGCCATAATCATCACAATTATGACAAATCACGGCTTGAACTATCTTGCTTTGCATGTAATGAGTCTATCTCATATATTAGTTTCACCTTTTAAGTTGCATGAGTGAAATAAATTAACTTTTGCACGATATTCTAATCGAGTTTCACCTGTATTTTGCTAGAATCATTTGCACTGGGAAGGAAAACACAATATTCTGATTTATCTTATTGTAGTTGGACTCAGTGTCAGAATGTTGTACGTTTAGTCACATAGCCTTGATGCAGTTTAAATTGAAGAACCCTCTCCCTGCCCCTACCCCCCCACAAACATTTATAACTATCATTACATAAAGTGCAGGTACCTTTTTGCTTGTCGTAATATTGGTGCATGAGGAGCACCCTGGTTCTTTAACCCAATCTGTATGCAGGGCCTTGACTTTTTTTTTTTTTTTTTTACATTATTTTTGGCCATCAGTAGCGCATACTTACTCTCCCTTTTGATTCCCTGCCCTTCTGTTTGAAGATACCCATTTCTTCCAGGTATGTGGCAAAATGGGACACTCTCTTGTTCCTCCCATGTGACATCACTGGATCTTTACATTTGGCCATTCAGTCACCCAGCGCTGTCACATAGGGGAAGGGAGAGAGGTATTAGGTCTGTACAAGCTGCAATTTTTACTTTTGTTGGACAAACGAAGGAGTAGGGGAGTGAAGAGATGGGAAATGTATACAAGTGTGGGAACATTGAAAGGGACTGTAATGGCAGTGATTTCTAGATGACACGTGGGATATACTTAGTATGTGTTCCCAGATTTCAGGCACCACTGCATGTCCAGTCTCTGTAGTATCACATACACTGAATATTATGGGTAGTCATTTTGTAATGTCCATTGCCTCACTTGAACACTATATTTTGGGCACCACTGGTTTAGATGCCTTTGACAGAACATGTTCATTTTAACATGCTTGACGGAAGCCTGCTGTCTTCTTTCAGGAAAGAAATGCTGAAAATGCCATTGAAGCACTCAAGGAATATGAGCCTGAAATGGGGAAGGTGTACCGACAGGACAGGAAAAGTGTCCAGCGGATTAAAGCCAGAGATCTTGTTCCTGGGGACATTGTTGAAGTTGCAGGTGAGATTTCACTTTTGTAATCATCTGAAAGGTAGACATTGCACTTAACAAGGCTTGTTAGTAAGAGCTTTTTTTAAGTGGTAATAAGCTGCGTCATCTGAGTGCATGACCCAGCGATACAAGTGGCTTCAGTGCTTCTTGTTAGTAAAATTGCATGTCTTCCCTTTTTTAGATTTAACATTTTAACTTCAATGCTTATATTTAGGACTGACTGTTGATCCAGTACTCTGATCCCCGTGTACACTTTGCATTGATAAATGTATTGCTTGAAGCTCAGCATTATGCATACTTGAAGCTTTAATATGTCTATAAATGTCAGATTGCTTTTAAGAGCAGACATCACTACAATTTATGAAATGTCTCCAGCACTCATGTTCAGTTGCTGATGATGTATGTGGCGTGTGTTGCTAATACCTTTTATGTTTAGGATTGTATAGACTTTGCCATAGAATCTGTAGAGAGATGTCCATGTAGGGAAATGGAGCACCTCACACAGGGATGCATATCTTGAAATGGAATTCTAGGCCGTATGCCAATGACATTTGTATGTAGAAACCCATTTGCCTTCTGTGACAGTAGTGAAAATGACTGTCTGGTCATAGATCTCTTTTATGATGTCCACACAAAGCTCTTCCAGTGTCATACTTGTTGTTTTTTTAATGGAGTTCTGAAATAAGTGGTATTAAGTAATATACTCTGTGACCCTGAACACACACAGAGCTAATGTTGGTAGTAAAAGGCTATTCTGTAACACAAGCCTAAGGGCTTGTTCACACCAAATCTGGACCAGATCTGCATGAGTTTCTGCACGTGCAGTGCAGTGTTTTTTGCTGCGTTCAGGGCCGTGTTTTTTTTTTTTTTTTTTTTAAAGGAAATATTTTTTTTTAGCATCAAATGGGCTTTCAGTGCGTTCCAGGACATTTGCATGCATTTTGGTGCAGTCCAGAGCAGAAAAATGGGGCATGCTCTGGAACTGAACGCTGCGGTTTGAACTAGAGCCCAAAATACCATTGGAATACATTGTATGCAGTTTTGATGCGTTCTCTAACTGCTCTGCACTTGGGGTGAACGAGCCCTAAAAGGTGGGCTGTTTTTTAATGTACAACTTGGAATTGATTCGTTGGTAGAAACTGTCTTGCATGCTGGAAGATGTAAGCCCTAACATTCATTTTTTTTTTTTTTTTTGTCTGTTCTCAAATGAAAGTTGGAATGAAAAAGGGAATTCTCCTTACTGTTAGGAGCATAGTCTGCTTTGAGTGTTTTTTGATGATGAGCAGTTATTTAGCATCTACCAAAGATCTGCCTGTATATTGCCAAGTAAAGTGTTCTGGAGCAGTGTGCAATTGCCTTTGTCTGCAGTCTTAAATTTGACTCCAACAAGCCTTCAGTAGATCTGTATTTGTTAGAAGTTGAACTGTATGATTGTGATAGTTAAAGAAGAACTCCAGGAAAAATGTTTATTAAACCTTGCAGTAGGGCTACTGCCGCACTGTAGGGGTTAATTGCTTGTTTTGTTTAGGTGGTAAGAAACAAAAGGTTATACTCGCCCAAACTGTTGAGCCGGCTTGCTCTTAGACCGGTACTTTCAGCCACTCCCTCTCCTCTGCAGTAGTCTAAGGTCTTATAAATCCTCATGTTCTGTACACTGTGTATAGAAGTGAGGAACATTCCAATGCTGCAGCGCAGGAAATGTTAGGTCTCGTTCAGAAGGGCAACAGACTCCACCTCCCCTGTCAAAAGTGATCTGCGGTGGATTGCTTTTCAGAGGGTGGTAGAGTAGTGGCTGCCTGGTGAGGGTTTTGTTTTTTTAAATTTCAAAAGGGATTCTGTATTTTAATACCGTATTTGCCAGCGTATAAGACTGCTGGGCGTATAAGACGACCCCCCACTTTTTGTGTAAAAATATAGGTTTTGGGCTATACTCGTCGTATAAGATACGTCCATCTTCCGTCCTTCAGCTACTACCGCGCTGAGCCAGATTTTTTTTTTTTGGGTCTCAAACCCCGTCTTATACGCCGGCAAATACGGTACCTTTTTTATATAGCTTGCGAAATGCAATATGCTGTTTAAATTTGCTGCAGCGCAAAACATCGCAGCCTGCACAAGCATGATCATCCATTAATACGTTTTAGCTGAGCAGGTGGGGGCCTTGTCTCCCCGTGTGAACCTATTGGTATTTGTCACCAAATAATGGCTCATTTGCCATGACATCCTTGGTTTTAAGTTGGTCGTTGTTTATTTTTTCCAATAAAAAGCATTGTTTGTATAATTATACAAATAGATAAAAGTTCAACTATTTACTTTTAATTCTGCTCATGATTGTTGCATGCTATATAACCATTTTATAGAGGTTCTATTGATGATATACGTATATAAGCCATATGTATTATATTAGCATGCCTAAGGGAAAAACTGGCACAGGCTGCCAATACTGGCCCAAAGCACCCAGCGTGATTCAGTCTACCATTCTCCAGCTGATATGTGTCCATTACAGGCTTACATTTTATTAGTTGCTAAGAAGTAACAGACTGTCCAAGGCTGCTCTTCTGGTACACAAATCTGATGTTGACCTTACGCTTGTCAGTTATATTGCTAATTTTTAAGTTTTCTATTTGCCTTTTAGTCATGGTAGCTTACAACAATTGGATTTCAGTCACTTTCTGGGTTGTCAGATGATTGAAATAGGGTTTAAATAAAATGAAATCGCTGCATTTCCAAATTAAAGGCTTTTTTGGATATAAATCTTTGCCAGTTTCTAATGTTTGGTTGCAGTTTTTCTAAAGCTGAGTTTCGGGCTAGACAAATGTCTAAATGTAAAACCCTTGTGCATTTTTCCTTGATGCTTGGTGTCCTTAGTGTGTTTCCTCCAGATCTGTGCTGCAAGCCAGCATGTAATAACTCCTGCATTTGCCATATGAGCAGCAGTTTCCTATGATGTTTCAGCGCTGCGCTCTCTTTGTGACTGGTCTTGTATCCGCCCCTCCTGTAGTTTTCTGCAGGCAGCCTGTAGTAGTTCCTCCCACAGTTCTGCTGGGTTCCTCCCACAGTTCTGCTCTTGCACTGGCTATATGCAGCATAGTGATGTGGTCACTGCTGCTCTACAAGGTAATATCGGGGTTTTCAAAAGCATTTGGCGCACACAAAGTGGATTTATATCCTTCGCTGCTATTTAGGATTTTTTCTAAGCGGTATTTTTTGTGCCTGGAGTTTCTTTTCTTTTTAAAGCTGAATGACTAGAAATATGAAGTCTTCCAAATCTGCCCTGTGCTAATGCCCTGTCCTGTGCAATATTGAACGCCCTATCGTGGGCGTTCAATATTGTACTTTTTAGCAGGGGGTCCCTCCCCCCCCCCCCCGGGATTCATAAAAGTCAGAAGTCATAAAAAAATAGTTGAGCTTCCCTACTGTGTCCAAAACTTGACGCTTACCTCCACAAACTGACAAGGTTAAATGCTCAAATATAAGGGCTAGTTTGCACCACAAGCAGTGTGATTGCCCCCACAGTGCATGCAGCATTTTTTCTGACCGGACCAGAAAGCAGGCATTGTTGTGCCACACGTTCGGGTGCAGCCGAGCATGTGGCTGCAGTCCCATTGACTTCAATGCACCGTCACGCCCCCTCCCACCCCTAAATGCAGGGAGCCGGCCAGGAAATGCGATCCGGCACCAATTCAGGCTGGAGTGCACTTTGTGTTGTGAACTAGCCCTAAGGGTAGAAGAGTAAAGGTGCAATACTTTATTCCTCTGTGGGAAATTTGTCCAGGATTTGGGTCACTTTTTATGCCCTAGGAAGGTACACTTGCCCTCACTCTGTTTGGGGAGCTGGCTTGGATGCAGAAACATGGTGATGGGAGGGCATTATGGAATAAAAATTACACCAACCTCTAGCAGCCTGTACAATGTGCCACAGGTAAGGTAGGTCATTTAAGTTATGGGGCTGGAGAATCACATTGTCAATATGGGACATCAATGTTTATAGCGGACAGCTATCAAATCTAGCATGGATACTCCCCACCACAGTAGCTTTCGCCCTGGACATAATTGTAAATTACTGTAAAATACCCTGAATCCATGGGCATCACTTGACCCTTATCTTGGTAGGAAGTTGGATTCCCAGCCTCCTTGAAGCTCGGGCTCACCTCACATGGGGCTCCAGCTTGCGACCTTTTCAGTCTGAGGCTCCTTCCCCCCCCCTCCACGGCCAAGCTCACTGATCACATCACGGCCAAGCTCACTGATCAAACATTTTCCACAACCCTGACGTTGTAGCCTCTCTCCTCCAAGCCACCTAAAGCACCTGTGATCTGCTGTGACTTAATGAGCCAGCTAGGTTGGCCGCTGGTTTCAGTGATTTAGCTGAGCCTGGGGACGCCACTGGAGTCTACTCTGTACAGATGGTATCCTTTGTGGAGCCATTGTGATGGCACGAGAGGAGGTGGTATCAAAGGGCACCAAGGCTTATAGCAATGGCTCTCGATGACCTGGTTGCGAGAAGGTTTTCAGGAGTTGCCATGGCAATCTGGTGACTGGAAATTGTGCAGCCCTGCCCTAAAGTAACTTGACAGGTTATGGTGGGCTAAAAGGAACCAAAAAGACCTCCAATGAACCAGTGTGAAGGACAGTAGAGCTGTCTGTATTTTGGGAAAGTGGGTGGAGCCATTCAAATTGTTGCTTTTTATACCCCTTGGGCAACTGTCTATCCAGAACTGCTGGTTTGTTACCCACTGCTTAAAGTAGTATTAAAGTCTCATATATATATATTTATATATATATATAAAAATATTTTTTTTTTTTTAACCATCTGCTAGCAAGCATTAAATATATGACCCAACATTTAAAAAGGAAAAAAAGTTGGCAAATGGGTAATAACTTACCGGTGTCTGCACCGCTCTCTACTGGCTGTAGAACCAGCTTCCCGAATTGCCGTGCAGGAGGAAGTGTGTGCGGGTGCTTGCGCACCCGATACACTGTCTCTCCTCCTCTCCCCTCCAGTGCTAAGT